CCCCCCCCCCTCCCCCGCGCCAGCGGGATCCATCTGCGGGCAGGTCCCAGCCGGGCCTGGCCCCGGCGCAGCGCGTGCCCCGGCTGGGCCCCGTCCCCTGTGCTGGGCAGGCTGCACTTCTGGAGAAGCCCCCTCCAACGGCACCTTGGGAGAGACCCCGAGGAGGAGCACGGCTGGCTGGGAGGAGGGAAACTTCCTAGACCCGTCCACCCCCCAACCGCAGCACCGCAAGGTGCAAATACGCGAGAACAGCGCGAGGCTGGCGCTGCCCGACACCAGCGCCGCTTCCCTTCTCCATCGCAGGGGGCAAAACTGGCCGCTCCTCGCGGATCCCTGCAGAGAGCAGATCCACGACCGCCCCGCGGCGAGGCTGTGGCAGCACCACGCACTGCGTCCACGCGGGGCCCACGACACCCCACCGCAGTGAGTAACCAGCAGTTACAAATCAATGTCCCTTTTGTTTTCGGGCATCCTTCCTTTCCTCTGCAGGATTTGCAGAGCAGCAATTAACATGATCTTTTTCCTTATAACTCTTCTTTATCCACCTCACTTAAAAATTAAATTTTCTTCCTCCTTAGAGATGCATGACTTCTGCAATCCCCTCTCAGTCAACTTTCTGCAAGTACCGTTCACATCCCTTCCCTGCTCTTGTGTGCTGAACAGAATTGGTAAACAACTCGTATATTATGGATGTCACATCTATTTTCCATCTAGCTTCATTTTATCTTTCTTGAGTGGAATGTAATAGAGGCCATATAATTTACAAAACGGTTCTCCTCCTGACCTGCCGCACTCGCTCAATTCCACAGAGAATGAACAGCACTGGAAAATTTATAGCTCTGCTCACTTCACAGCTTATGTTTGGAGCTATTCTTTTTTAAGAATGTTCCTATGTCACCTGTTTACATTTTAAGAAATGGGTCTTTTATTCATTTCTTTAAAAATGCACTGATTTCAGTAACAATCTTTATCTCTCCTGTCGGACTGTTCATGATCCTGACGAGGTCATCTCTATCTAGCACTGCCCATCCAAAACACCTGCATTCCCATTAACCCCCTTGGAGCATGATCCAAGATCCAACCAGGACATATGGTTTATCTGCTCTTCTCCCTCCAAGTATAAAGAGGTTATCTGCTCCTCACAGAAACACAAGTACTCACAACCTTATTACTGCAAGAAAACCATCTCCCCAGTCTATCTACATTCATCCACTACCAAAACCAATACTTTGTCTCCCATAACGTAGGATAAATAATTCCTATGTTTTTGGCTCACCTCTGCTTCCTGCTAGTGAAGGCCTCACACATGCCACAGCAGATGACATCCACACAGAAGATTAAAACATTCACAGATCTTTCATTTACCCAAACAAGTGAAACTTTACTTTCCTAGACAAAGTCCTCAACTCTACTTCCACAGACAACAGCAGGATCTCCCTTGCGACCACGTAAAACATTGTTGTGGACAGAGAAAACAGATTAGTGCCTTTTCATATCTATATGAACATAAACTACTAATTTATGCTCTACCAATACAGCCCTTAGTAGTTCAGCACCTGTGCCAGGAAAAAGTCCTGCTAAAACGGCTACGAGGCAAACAGCTCAAAGCTCTGGTTTTATGGGCATGCTTCTCCTCACAAAGATCTAGTAATTTTCTTCCTACGAAATGGTCTCTCTGGGCAGCAGTTCAGAGCAGAAACATTTCAGAGGAGCGACAGCCCAAGATGTGCTCCCCAGCCAGCTGTGTTACAGGACGGGAACAGCCCCCCAGATAACCAGAAAGGAGCCTTACCTCGAAGCAATAGTCCTGCCCCAGGATGCTGCTGTGGACCGGCTTGATGACCACCTCCTCCTCCATGCTGAGATCCAGGGCCTCGACAGCGCTGCTGGGACTGAGCAGGGACTCGTGGGAGCGCGATTCTTTCAGCCTCGGCATTAGATGGGATCTGGAGGAAGAACGTGACAGCGTCAGTGGACAGTTTCCTTCCCAGAGAGCTGATTAAGTCCATCTGTTAGCAACAACTGCAGAATATTCCTGGGAATTTTTTGCCATGAGGTAACAGAGGGCCTGGAATAGCAGGGACTGCTCTATGTCCCATTTATAATTTAGTGAACAGGTTCTATTACAGGCTCTATTTATAGCAGAAATGTTTTTCTCCCAAACTCTGATGCAGTCCGGACTACAGCAGAGGTTGATACGAGTGTCTCCGCATAGTAGGATATATCTTTAGATGGATGCAAACCTGCTGCATGACACCCCTCGAGCACCTCGGGAGTAGGACTGCGAGCGGGGCAGGAGCGCCCGCGCCAGCGGGGCCGGGCACAGAGCCCAGCGCGTGACGCTGCCCGCGCGGCAGCGGGGTCCGCGGGCATCAAACCGCGCTCACGTCGCTTCTCGGTACCCAGTGCCAACTGACAGAAGAAAGTCAGCTAGAAGTGGGGAGCACCTAATGACACATTGTCCCAAAACTCCAGAACCCCGTGAGGCCGCAGCGCGACGCGAGGGAGGCTGCGCTCCCGCACGGCCCCTTCTCCACCCCTCAGCGCACACGTTCGCACCAGGGACGCAGCCAGCGGGCGGATCCGCACTCGTATCTGATGGGCTGAGGGCTCGTGTGCTCCGTGCAGTCGTTACGCAGATGCCCAGGATGGAGGCAGTGTGGAAAATAAGGCCATGATAGCCCTATCGACCGATCTAAATGCTCTGGAGTCCCACTGGCAGCACTTAGCAGCGGGGAGCCCGCAGACAGCGAGCACTACACCATGCCCAGAGACAGCCAATACAATCAATGGAGCTGTAACTCTTACAGCAAAATCAGAGAGCTCAAGGGTGGGGGGAAAGAGCCGGGTACTCTTACAAAAAACACAAAATCATAAAACAGCAAAGGAAAAAATAACTTGAGAGCAGAAGAAAGAGCTGCTTTCTCTGCAGGCTGCACAATGAAAAGCTCCTGCAGCAGCCGGCTCACAAAGGCTGCGACTCCTGCAGCCCTGAGCTCCAGATCCCCGGCCGGCGCTTCCTCCGCACCGGCCCGTCCGCAGGCGCGCGGCCGCCTCCGAGGCAGCCAGGACTAAGGGTGAGGCCGAGCTGTTCTCAGCACCGCGACGCTCCCAACACCTTCTGCCAGGTTGCTTTGTCGGCGCATGCTGAGTTTGGTCATTCTCTAGAATAAAGCTCACCAAAATATGGGGAAATGTCAACAGTGCACACAAAGTTTACAGCTTCCATTTACTCCCAGGCCAAGCTGCATCTAGGACAGAGCCAAAGGAGAGTGGAAGATGAACGGAGCTGAGAGATAAGCAGGTGCTTCTCTAGCCTTGCCATTAAGGTTCGTGCCATCACCTGCCCCGGAGGTGATAACGGAGCGGCTGCAGCTGGCTGAGCCAGCTGGGAATGCGGAACGGGCAGCCCAGCACCCGAAGGCTCCACGGAGCAGAGGAGCACGAGGTGGGAGGCGCTGCCTAAGGGCCGAGGGCCAGCGTCCCCCCGTGGCCACCGAGGCTCCCGGCCGGGCCACCTCTCGATGCGTCTGCAGGACAGGCCAGGGCCCGCGGGACAGCCAGCAGCTCCTCGCCAGGTAAAACCTCAGGTTAACACAGACGTGGACGGGAGCTGCGGCTGGAAGCAGAAGGCCCTGGAGCCCATTAGCGAGTCCCAAAGCTGCCCACTCACCTCGGATCTCTACTGTGGATAAATTGATCTTTAGGAACTGAGCACAGTCATTTCCCAGTACTTCGTGGCAATTTAACACTATTTTCAAAGAAGAGGGGCCCATATCCTTTATCTCTGAATGATACTGTAAATCAACTCTAATACAGATCAAGTTGCTCCTGGATACTGAGCACAGTACCAAGAAGTATCCAGCAGATACTTCCAGGTCAGAAACTGCCGATACAGACTATTCACCACCCAACAACAAACCAGGAATTAAGGCATCTGTTATTTCCGTATTTTCCATGGTTTACAGATGAAATTAGAAAAGCCAAGCGATCAGGTCGGCGCTTGCATTCCCGTGCACGCACACACCCCCGCACCAAATGCAGGGCCCAGGAACCACACACGCCGATGCCCACGTCCGCTCGCCAACCTGCGCCACGGCTCGCTGGCCAGCGGGGTTGGCGTGAGATTAAAACAAGTCCTTTTAAAATTCCTGCAGCTGCAAGGCCACGGGTAGGAAGGCAGATGTGCAACACCCAGAATTAACAAGGAGAGATTCTCAGGACATAATAATGAACACATTCCAAAAAATGCAGCTTTATATCCCTCCATACTCTGGCACCTCTGGGAACCCCACAGCTAATGGGATTTTCTCCTGGAGGTGAGGTTATTTGCCAGACTGTAGTAAGCAGGATGGACTCCCATGATGTCCTCTAGCCCTCAAGGGCTGATCAAATACAATACGAGTCAGCAACAATAAAATCCTTTCCCGGATGCCATGTTATATGGGGTGGGTGTTGTAGGTCTCAAACCAGCCTTAAAAGCCTGGCAATCTGCCTGTGCATCAGGAGCCAAACGGGGGGCACCACCGCTTAGCAGCCCTTGTTTGAAAAGCTCCAGGAGGGGCCGGGAGCGCCCGGGCGGCCGCATCCTGCCCCGCGCCGACACTGCTGCCCTTGGCCTGCCGAAGCCCGGCCGGCTCCGGAGCGCTCAGCCGGCCGCAGGGG